GCCAGACTGACTTGTTCCCTTTCTGGGTCTTTCCTGTCACCTGGCCGTGGCCGAACCTCCCGTTACTTGTGTTGCTTCTCTCATTTTGTCCCTCCCTCATTTACACTTGCACCGGCTTTTTCTTGCCCCTGGGTATTCGACCCAGCTGTACTTAGAGCCATTTTGTTTGCTTTGTCTTCTCCTCCTGTTGTGTTACCAGAATCTCTCGCCTGTGCAGTGACACGGCTACTGATGATTGTGGTACCACTTCCATCGCAGGACTTTGTGCTTTATGCCTCGCCAGTTGGAAATCTGACATAAATACCCGTCTTTTCCTCCTGCCTATGGCTCTTTTGAATTCTTTTTCCTGTCAGTTACGTTTTTTTTAATGCAGTATGGTAATTGCTGCTTTAAATAAAGAACGTTTCAAATTACAGTTTGTGAAATAGGTTTTATAGAAGAAATCTGTATTATCAGTCCTGTTGAGCTACATGAACTCAATAATCATTCTTTCCTGGATGTTCTTCACTGTGCCACCTCTACAGAGAAGGTCACTTTATATCTGGTGGCTTATTGTTTTCAAATAATATATCTGTGCATAAATTGCTGGGTGAAAGATTGCCACGGTATCTTTCACTTAGCTGCCGTTTCTGTTTCTCCCTCCATCCCACCCCGTACCTCCCGTCTCCCCTGTCCCCATCTGTGAGAGGTTGCGTGCTCTGATGGAATTGCCACAGGGTGTCAGTCCAGAAATGTCAGTCCTCAGCTCTGCTGTTGGGTGCCTGTGATGCCAAAGGCATATCCTTAATCTTTCTAGATCTATAAAGTAAATGACATAATTTGTTACTGACCTTGCATGAGCATTAAGAGGATTTAAAGTACTTATGAATATCGCTCTAGGAGTGTGTAGCGCTACATATGAACGCTTGCTGGTAAGTGGATGATTTTTCACTTTCTTAGCATTTTGAGAAGGTTCTTCTCTTTAGTTATGACTAGCAAAAACTTGAGTTTAGGCTTTTGGAATCACTTGCAAACCATCTCCCAGCTCAAAGTAGCTAAACACGTCATCACTTCCTTGCGGACATGAAACACTTCCAGCTGAAAAAATCTTCTGAAAGATTTAACTCTGGAATACAAATGGCAGCCCGCTATACTGAAATTAATTTTGGATTTCAAAATTCTTGTCCTTAAGTTATCAGCCACTGCAGGGCCAGCTTTAACCATGATCTGAATCAGGGAGGAATTCAAAAGGTTGAAAGCCGCAAGGAGCTGGCACAATATGAAACCATGCTTCCAGTAGTTGCATCTTACTGAACTAGTCTGGGATTTAGGTATCTATGAACCCACAGCAGGATAGCCAGATTAGACCTTGGGTGCCCGTGAGTGCGTTACTAAAAAAAACGCTTCAGTGCTTGATGATCCATAAACCTGACTTCTCGTGGGCTGATGAGGCAGGCGGCTCTGGGAAAGAACCCATTTGCCCCTGCTCTGCTCTCTCTGCATCTCTGCAGCATCACCAGAACAGTATCTCCCAAGAATGTGCTGCGTGTAATGTGTTCTGTCTCACTGCAAGATGCTGGATCTCTGGGAATCTTGGAAGGGGTTGAAAAAGCAAAGTAAATTAGGTTGGTGGGAAAGGACTAAAATCTTGAAATAGCTATGAATGCAAAAGGGAGTGCTGGGTGAATGCCTGTGAAAGTTAGATTTGTGCCACTGGTCAAGCTTCTGGGAAAGCACATTTTGTACAGTACATAAATGTGTATCTCTGAAAGTAGTAGCCTGGTCTAGCAGATAATGCACAGATAGGGAGTCAAGGGATCTACGGTCTGCTTCTCTGACACTGTCTTCTATCATTTGCTTTCCTTATTAAGAAAGTAAGCTTAGGGCAGAAAATTGTCCTATTTCATGTTAGTATAGTGTAATGGGGTCCTGGCCTTAGCCACTGGGTGCCACTGAAATACACACAGTAATGACAGTGGTGACCTGTTCTATATCCTATTATTCCAGTATCCAGCTTCAGTCACAAGGAACAATTTATTCCAGGAAAGGTGGTGGAAGTAGCCACTAGAAAATATGGTTATAGTTTATTTTCTTTCCCTTTTAATGTCAACAGTATATAAACATTGTTTTTCAGAAAGAAAAGGGTGGCCTCTCCTCAAGTACAGTAGTGCAGAGCTTTCCAAGTGTATTTAAAGACATTTGTATGAAATGGCCATCTGAGCAATTTTTATGGGCTTCTGTGCTCAGAGGATTTCAGATCTGCCTGCATGCTGGTAAAGGAGAGAAGCAAAACTGAATTGTGGGAAAGTGTTACTCTCAGGAGCAGCAGAAGTCATCTTCTGCAAGTACAGTAACAGCTCACAGACCTCCTTCTGCCAGAACAGAAACGTTCTCCTTACCTACAGTTGGTGGTGGTGCAGGTGGGAGTACAAGCAACCATAGCAGATTGCATTAGGCATCTACCAGGAAGATACGCCAGAACGGCAGCAAAACAAGGGACTTTTGTGGTAATGTTTCATTGCAAAGCTTTAAGAGTCCAAGACCCAGGAATTTACTGACACTGTCATATTATCAATTCCTAGGCACTATTAGCTGAGATAACTTACAAATGATTGGAGTAGTAGCCTAAAGGAATTGTTGGCCTTTGCCAAGACAGATAGAAAGAGTTACATAGAAGATTCAAGTGAATCAGTCACCACAGTGTGTAGGTGTCAGGATGGGTAAGCCTTTATTCTCTTTCTAGAACTGCAGTAGTTTACAGTGGGACGAGAAATATCAAATTAAAATACACTGACCACACATTGCCTGTAGTAACAAGCAACAGCCTGGCAAAATCAAACCAATCTAGTGGATTAGAGGATGGAGTTGACAGCATGTTCTTAACTTTTTTTAACGTGGCTCACAATTCATGAGAGTATTCAGATGGTACAAAAATGGAGGGGGGCCGACTGTGCTGTTTGTGGTAGAAAACCATTCTCCAACCCCTGTTATTTAGAGTCATAGGAGTAACTGCAACTCAAGTGAAGGATAATTTGGAGTTCTTCTGAGTTTCACTTCAAACAGAGTTTTAGTCATTTTCAGGGAAAAATTGTACCTTTATCATTTACTTTGTTGTGTGATAGTGTCGGGATTGCCTGTATGATGGCATATAGCCCACGTTTTGGGCAGATTTGATCCAAGATTGTAAGAGATGTTGTCCATAAAGATGGTAATATGCAACCGATACGTGATTCTATTTTCACGCTCAGGAGTCCCATTAATGCATTTCAGACATGTGCGCACGGAAGTTACCAGTGAACTCATAATGGGAAAATTGGTGGACGCAGTGGAGTTGTCAGGGACAAAAAGCTGAAAATTACATGTGTGTTTCAAACAGCCAGCATTTTTGCTTGGTAAATATTGTGTTTTGCTGTGGCAAACTAGATTAACAGCTTAGCTGTAGGAAAAGTGAAATCATACTTTTATCACTGCATGTGGTGAGTTTTCTTGTTTTGCATTCATTGTGTCATTGTTCTATGTGTACTCTTCAAGATATGATGAGAGGAGAATAAAACACTTTATTCAAGATCAGATCCTCATCCCTGGAAGTCCATCAGCTAAGGCCCTATTCAGAACATATCAGAAAGCCCTATATTCAGTTATGTGATTTGATCATGGTCACCATTGGGACTCATCCTTGCAGACAGAGATCTTTTAAAGCATATGCAGTTTAACGTGTGGCAAATGGGCAAAAGAATAACCCAGTGGGGCTTTCTGCTGTCTCACCAACATATGGACTTGATCGAATATTATCTCCCCAAGCAACTGACTTCATGAACAGAAGTGATTCAGCTTCTGAAGGTCAGCAACACAGAGTTGTTAAAAGAGCAAAACATTGCGGTCTTCTGATGACAGCAATATTTTCCACCTTTGATTCCCTTTTCCTACTGCGTTTAAGCTGTAGCGGAAGACTTGGCTGGCTCCAACAGCAAAGGTGAAGCCCAAGATAAGATTATGATCTCATGTAACATGAATTCATTTAACTTCTTCAAATGCAACGGTGATATTTTTAGGAGTAGTTAAGTATATCAGGAATATAATAAAGATAGGCTTATTTAGTCTTTAGAGTAGCCACGACTGGGGCTTTCTAAATAAAGCTCAGTGGTTTAAGCTATATTTGAAAAAATTCTGTGCAGCAAGTAGTGAAGCCAGCAGAGCTAAGGTATATAATAAGCACTATACAAGTAGTCCCAGCAACAGGGGAGAGGGTGGCATTCTGCAAGGTCCTCAGTTACTGCGGCGGCAAAAGACCCTTAAAGTCAGATCGTGACAAGGAAGTAAAAGAAGAAATTCTGTGCAAATAATGTTCCTAAATATGTTTCAGTTTTAGGTGTGTAGGCTTTACTCTTAAAAAACCAAAAGTTTCAAATAGAAATTACGTTGTCTTGCCTGGGCTGCAGAAGAACTCATGCATGGAATACCACATAGATGATGTGGAGGGTGCTCTGTGCATTGAATTAATGCTTGTTACATGCGTAATTGTAACCATATGTTTAGGAAAGCCAGGCCTCCAGTATAGTGAGAAATGCAGATGTGTTCTGATTTAGAAGAAAAAAAGTTTCTGCAAGTAGTATTATGGGATATGTTACTGCAAACTTTTACATTCATTATTTCGATGAGTAAGGAGGGATTGCACCTCCACTTACGCTATTGGAGATGAAAATTATAACTACTATTAATTCTCCTGCTTCTGGGTGTATGCTGAGTGCTTCAGAAGAGTAAATTCCCCATTGCAATATAATATGGTAAAATATTAGAGTCAGTTGCATTACACTGGGATTTTACACCCAATTACTGCTCTGAATTATCTGTCATTAGCCCTTATTAGGGGCGGATTTGGTTAGATGGACAATTGTCTATTGCACTTTGATTGCAAATATGTTGTTAGGCTTCCAAATGAATATTTAAAGTGGATCATTGCACGATTTTTCTACAAATTCTCTTTTTATCTCCTCCTTCCTCTCCTTCTGTCTTTTAAGGAGCTTCTACCCAGAATTCCAATGCAGTGGAACCAGAAAAACAAGTTGACAGCACGGTGAAAATGGCCGGAGTTATAGCTGGTCTTCTGATGTTTGTTATTATCCTCTTGGGGGCAATGCTTACCATCAAGAGAAGGTAAGTTTCTGCTTTGCTTCCATCTTGGACTTTCCGGCTAGAGTGTTGTTACTTCAAAAAGAAGAATAAATTTGGTAGAGATAAAACATTCCATTTGTGTTACAGAGGGCAGCAGGTAATATCTATTTCTGTAACGCTACCACTAAGAAGTTGTAGTCCCAGAAGAGATGCCTGTTCTGGCAGATACTATATGAACAACAAAAGAATGGTTGTTACTGCAAAGAGTTAATGATAATTAATTGGTAATTAATGAGAAGGGGTAGCTCATAAATAAGCATGGAGAAGTACAAAGTGATAATGAGGCAATGGAAGTGGGCATGTGAGCCTGTGCAGGTAGCACAACAGTGCTCTAATAGAAGACAAGAATTCTTTCTTAACAGCCAAGAAAAATAATGTCTTAAAATAATGTGATCAGCCGTCTTGTTCCCAAGTGAGTCTTGATGAGAGATATTTTCACGCAGCAATTTCTTTGCAGCCAGTGTTCATCTGGAATATTACATCTTGCTGAGGGTTAGAATCTTTCCAAGAGTTAGCTGTAGTTTACCGGGGAATGAAACTTGGAAAAATCATGTATGGTAATGAAATTTGTTCAAATAGTTCATTTTGTATGATTTTCTTTGGACCATTTGCACTTACACTTTGAAGTAGACTATAGTAGTTGCTACTATTTGAAGAGTTCCGCATTTACAGTGTAATATACTGATTCAGAAAACCACTCAGGCGAGAGGTTTTCTTGAGAAAAGGGTGTATTTTGTATACATTTTTACCAGTCACATTTCTGAAGTGAACCCTTCTTTTCAACAGTAATTTGATTCTAAATGAACAGGAGCTAGGTAGCCTGGCAGCCCCTTGTCTAGGGTGCAGGTAGCACTACATGCGAGAGCCTCGATGATTTTACTTGGTCTTTTGCAGGGAGTGCAGCTTTTCAAAGCAAAGCTCTGTTTCTTTGAGATCTCTTATCTCTATGACAAACAGTCCCACATTTCCTGAAAATAAGAGCAGCAGTTAAATCTAGATATGATCTCCTCTATCTTAATCCAGAGCACATATGCAAATGGAATAGCTCTATGCTACAGAAGCTGGAGTGCAGGGCTGCTGTTCAGGAGGACCTTGAGAGGCTGGAGAAATGGGCTGATGGGAACCTCGTGAAGTTTAGCAAAGGCAAAGTCCTGCATCTGGGACGGAGTAACCCCATACAACAGTACAGGCAGGTTTGTGGAGAAGGACCTGGAGGTCTCGGTGGACGGGTCAAACACAAGTCAGCCATTTGCCCTTGCAGCAAAGGTCAACTGCGTCCGGGGCCGTGTTAGCAAGAGTGTAACCAGCAGGTTGAGGCAAGTGATTATTCCCTTCTGTTTGCCATTGGTGAGATTGCTCTGGGCATACTGTGTCCAGTTTGGGAATCCTCAGTACAAGAAAGGCACTGATATATTAGAGCAAGTCCAGAGGAGGGTTACCAAAATGGTTCGGAGGTGGAGAATCTCCATCCTTGGAGAAATTAAAAACTTGACTTGGACAAGGCCCTGAGGGACTTCCTGCAAGTGAAACTGGTTTAAGCAGGAGGTTGGACCAGATGTCCTTTGAGTAGCCTTTCCAAATTATGTAATTCTGCAAAACCTATCAGATAAGTACTGACTACTGTGAATTCCTGTTGAATTAACTGAAGGTGTGGGCAATCTAGACTTTTAATCCAATTTTTGTTGTGTGCAAAATTTCAGATTTTGTGGACAAATGTGTATGTGTTTTGTAGTCACATCTACTACACTTTTGTTCCATGTTAAACCCAAACAGTATAGATGTCGCTGATTCCAGTCTCCTGGGAGCTTTTCAGTTCATAAGCAGAAAAAAATCAGATGCCTCCAATGAAAAACAGAAAAAGAGTTTCAGGAAAAATTGAGCTGGGTTTCTGGTTTGTTTAATGCCCAGCCCTCATCCATTCCTATCCTAAATGTTCTTTAAGAAAAGCTTTTATTTTCAGCTTGAAAAGTAAAACTTGTAAGGAAAACTGTCAGAGTAATGGCACATCTGAACATCCTGGTGTTGTTTCCTAAGCTATTAAAAGTTGATAGCATTTCTGTCCCACGATGTATTATTATTATAAATCACGTATATTGCTGGGCAGAAAACAAACAATGATGACCAGGAACTCCTTATTTGAGGGCAGTTTCTTTATGGTGTAGCCTGCCAAGAACTAAATCAGAGAGGTAAGGATACTCTTATGAGGCAATATACTTTAAATACTAAGGAGGAGGTAATACGCGTAATCTCTCTGTATTTTCTCAAATTTTCAGATTTCACATCAAACTCCTTTTCCAAAACAGCCTACCACATCTTTCAAAATGTAAATGTGGGACTCGTCCTGTTAAACACTGTGATTGCTGCCAATCTATTTTTTGTATAAATTTGAAAACAGTTAGGAAATTTCTCAGAGGTAGGATTATGGGCAAGTAATTTTTTTTCCCCAAACACTGTGGAAGAAATCTTCATCATTCTCATTCTGATGAATGCATCGATGTGGAGAAGTCTGGATACATACAGAATCATAGAATGGTTTCAGTTGGAAAGGACCTCTAAGGGTCATCTAGTCCAGCCCCCCTGCCGTGGGCAGGGACATCTTCAACTAGATCAGGTTGCTCAGAGCCCCGTCCAGCCTGACCTGGAATGTTTCCAGGGATGGGGCATCCACCACCTCTCTGGGCAACCTGTGCCAGTGCTTCACCACCCTCAGCATAAAAAATTTCTCCCTTATATCTAGTCTAAATCTATCCCCCTTTAGTTTAAAGCCATTCCCCCTTGTCCTGTCGCAACAGGCCCTGCTAAAAAGTTTGCCGCCATCTTTTTTATAAGCCCCCTTTAAGTACTGACAGGCTGCAATAAGGTCTCCCCGGAGCCTTCTCTTCTCCAGGCTGAACAACCCCAACTCTCTCAGCCTTTCCTCACAGCAGAGGTGTTCCATCCCCCTGATCATTTTCGTGGCCTCCTCTGGACCCGCTCCAACAGGTCCGTGTTTTTCTTATGCTGAGGGCTCCAGAGCTGGACGCAGTGCTGCAGGGGGGGTCTCACCAGAGCAGAGCAGAGGGGCAGAATCCCCTCCCTCGACCTGCTGGCCACGCTGCTTTGGATGCAGCCCAGGATACGATTGGCCTTAGGGCTGCTCTCAGTCCCTTCATCCCCCAGCCTGTATTGATACCGGGGGTTGCCCCGACCCAGGTGCAGGACCTTGCACTTGGCCTTGTTAAACCTCATGAGGTTCTCACAGGCCCACTTCTCAAGCTTGTCCAGGTCCAATGATTCAACGTCTTTGATTAATCTTCTGTCTTCCAGTGGAAGCTGGAAAACCAGCAAAAGGCCAGGTTATCAGTATGTAGAAATCCTTCAAAGAAAAAGTAAAAATTCACGGCTGATGTAGAGTCTTAGATTATTGGGTTTTTTGCTTTTATTTTTTATTTAAATGGACTCTACATATTTTATGCAGAATATAACAAACTTTTATTAGAGGTCAGGAGGAGACTTAGAGACTGTATTATATAGTTTAGTTAGCAGGTATATAAAATCACTGCATTTTAGCTCTAATTTTTTTCTGATGCATGTCTAACTCAGATAAGTAAATGATGGGTAAATCTATCAAGATTGAGCTTTTTCCAACATTTCATTCTTATGATGTTTTGACTGTCATGACTGCTGCAATATAAGTTGATATCTCATACAGAGAGAAACACAGACAAACGCAGAATCAAAAATACTCATAACACAGAGGAAGTTCTAGGGGCTGGAGTCTGAGGACCCATTTGCTTGATATAAACATTCCCAAGCTAGTGCTGACCTGAGCTGGCCCCCTAACGCAGTGCACACGTTCTTCTGTGGAACTAGCCTGGTCCCAAAAGCAGCAACGTTTAGTGAATTTGGGTGTGATGCCCCATGCACAGAACTTGGCTATATCTGGCTTTGCCATAGGCTCTGTTAACCTGGGCATCTTTCTTCAAAATTAAAATTAGAAAGGAGGTGAGTGGGAGTATTAGAAATAAAAATTGTCCCCTTTTTCTTTCTAGAGCTGGAAAATTACATTTTCCTCTGTGTCGTTCCCCCCGACCCAGTGCAAACAGGCAAAATCACTGCAGTCTCTATCTCGATTTGCCTGTTTGCTGTCATTTGCAAGGTCACCCACTGGAACACACGCTATTATAAGAAATAAACTGGCTCATCGACGTTAAAATCTTTTCCATTCAGAAGCTATAACAGTGCAGAAAGAGGTTTTGGAGGCTTGCTCTAGGTCTGCGTAGCCCACCTCCAGCATCGCTGACAAACCCGCTGATGGCATCAGTTCTGGGTCTCCCTTGAATGGGCATCACCAGTCACGTCCTCCACCAGAGCTGCATATGGACAAGTGTTCCCTGAAGGTGAACTTAAGCCTGCCAGGCTCATTTCATTTGTAAACTAATGCGGATTGGGACCAGCTTTTATATAAAGGAAAGGCCGCTTTGGACCACAGATTGATTTGAACTTCTGGAGGAGCACAGCTGAAAACTCGCACTTGTCTGAGAGAACAGCTTAACAACAACGTTTCTTTCTATTTTACAAATAGAAATGTTAGGCACTTAAGCCCTTGCATTCAATTTTTGCATTAACCTTAACTTTAAAAGAGTTCCCCTTTTCAGTTCTCTAAGGCTAATGCCTCAGTGTACAAGACAGTGTAGTCTTGCAAGGCAACAATGCAGAAAAATAATTTAATTAGACAAACTTGAGGCATTTTCTTCAAATGGAGCCGGAAAATATCACAGTGACATTTGTTCATGGTCCAGGGCATCATAGTTCATTGGTAATAGGCACAGTAGTGGATTTCCTGAATGAAGCATTTTGTTAACTAGTGCATAGAGCAAAGGAAGGAGAGAGATTAGAAGAGACAGAAACACTAAGAGAAGGCAGACACTGGTTTGAGATTAGGATTAGGCAGATCATCAGAAGCAGCTTTATGTTTCTGTGAGACGCACCAACTCAGCAAT